GTGTGGGTGTGGATGTGGGTGTGGGTGTGGGTGGGTGTGGGTGTGGATGTGGGGTGTGGGTGTGGGTGGGTGTGGATGTGGGGTGTGGGTTTGGGTGTGGGTGGGTGTGGGTGTGGGTGTGGGTGTGGGTGTGGGTATCAATGAAGAGAAAGTAAACACCCGCACCCACCCACCCACACTCACCCACCCACCCACACACCCACACACCCACACCCACACCCACACCCGCCCACCCACACCCGCCCACCCACACCCGCCCACCCACACCCTAAAGCGAATTTCATTAGAAATTCACAATTAAGCTGGTGTACTTGTACATTCCATTGATACGGATGATTATACAGGTCAATCATGTCATCGTGGTGCATTTCCAATAACTTCAGTTATATCGGGCATATTCTTTACATCAATATCATCAATAAAAACAACAACAAATAATATTTCAAGCGTAGAAAAAACAAAAATATGTGTAGCAGTTGATAAAATTTATTATTTGCCTGATGAAAATGACGTCGAATACTTTTATATCTGTTTACCAAATCAACAGTATCCAGCAGCACGTTTTAAATGTGAAAAAAGTTTTCTTTTTTCTGAACAACATCAAGCTTGTATAAAAAAACCAGTAAGCTCAATTTTCACAATCAAGTTTTAATAATTTTTTATATTTTTTTAGACCTTTTTTCGAAGATATTTTTACAAGTACTTACCAATCCTGGGTAATTATGTTTTATACTTTTCAATATTATTGATTATTATGGCAATTATCTATATATTCAGCAATGAAATCACGGTTTTGCGTTGACAGGTTCAACACAGTTTATTCTTATTAATCGAGTATGTTATTGTTCAACATCGGCATCATGATTAACAATCGGAAAACATCAGAAGAACTTTGTAGTGAAGTTATTAGTTTAAATATGTTTTAAATACATGTATTAAATAAAGATGAAAATATAAATTAAGACTTTTCATTATTTAATTCAAGTACAGATGATATTGATGAACGTATTGATGCACTTAGATTTGATCTTGGTTGTTCATTAAAAGTATATTTCGTAGGTAGTGTTATTTTATGTATTGATGTTGATTGATTACGTTCATTACTTGAATCATTTATTAACCAAGGTTTTTTGTTGAATTATCAAATGCTGTATTTTGAAATCCATCACTATGATTATTATATACATCATTAATAGTAAGATTATTTGCTATGGAATCAATTTTATGTGTAGTAATTGATCATAATTGATCAAATGTTGCTGCTCGTTGAAGAACAGGATCAGTTTTTGATTGAAAATTTGGTTTCTTTTTTGAGAAATATATTGATCATTGATTAATTTGTATTCACTTAATTTTTTGTTTGATAGACGTAGTTTATCACCAAGATCTATATCAGTTTCCATAACATCTTGATCGTTCTATCTTGAAATATTTTTAAATAAATAATTTTACATAATCATTATTTAATGTTTGTCGACCGTCTTGATCATAACGTTTTAATAAAAAATTAAGTAAAAATTCTAATTGATCTTTAGTTTTGGTATTAGACTTTTCAATTCAAATAATAGATCGAAGACGATTATCAAAGAAAATTTTATGAAAATTTTTCAGAATTAATTAAAGCTTAAAAGTTGCATAGTTTTATCGTGTATTAATTTTAATATTAAAATTGAATATACCCAGGTCCAATAAAACGGCGTCGTAAACGGCCTGAAACGGCTATAAAACGGCGATTAACGATGTAAAACGTCGATAAACGGCACCGTAATCCGTCATACCAGATTACGGAAGCAAAACCGGAAAAAAACGACCGCCGTTTTCTAGCGATAGACGGTGGTCGTAATACGGTATGACGGATTACGGCGAAATAAGGACAAAATTACTGCAGTAATTCGCCGTTTTATAGTCGTTTCAGGCCGGATACGACGCCGTTTCCGACGGCCGGAATGATCCACCTGGGTAATGATGAAGTTGCATAAGGTCATATCTCCTGATTTGGATGAGTTACTAGAGATGAAAGTCCAGTTATAGATTGTTCACCTATTTCAGCACATTTTTTTACAATCACTTGGACGTAAACATAAATTCATTAATATAGCGCACGGGCGGCGCAAGCTCAATTTTTTAGGGGAAACAATAAGCTTTAGAATGAGATTATGTTTCCCTTCCAAGCCATTCTTCAAAGCTCAGCAGTAAAAGTTTTTTTTTTTGAAATTAATCTTTCAAAGCCATACTATCGGAGGCATGCCTATTAATTTAACGAGTGTTGCAAAAGTTCTTGGACAAAAATCAAAGGCTATATCTCCGTCAATCTAAATGCTACGAGTCTTATTTTTTTTTTGTTTGAAAGAGCAAAGTGTGAGCTACAGAAAACGATATTAAATAAAATTCTGCAGTGTGCAAATTCCGGTGAAAAACCTTATCAGACAAAACTCTGTTGGCGTAAAATTTTGCTTGTGTACGGAAAACCAATGTTTTTTGACAAAACGGTCTCTCGTAAACCACATTTTACGCATTAGAAAATCGGCCGAAGAAACTTGGTCACCAATAATCTGATACAGAGTTTTCCGCGCTACATTTTGCATTATTTATTTTTTGAATCAGTGCTTATGGGAGACCCATTATAACACAATTAAGCTTTACCTGCTTTTACAACAGCTTTCTTAGGGGTACTTCGTTTTTAGCTTCTTTTCATTCACGTTAATATGCTAACAAATTTAATCAATATGGTTTTTTGTAGTTTAGACTTTGCTTTTTTGAATCAAAAAAAAAGGCTCCTAGCCTTTAGAATGACAGAGATATGAGCTTCGACTTTTGTCCAAGAACTTTTGCAACACCCCTTATTTAACAGCATATTAAGAGTTTGAGGGTAGGGTAATGCTTTACATTGACAACAAATGTGTCCAACGCTGGTTAGCAAAACTGAAGTTTTTTTTGTTATTACCTTCCGCTCACCGATCATTGGCTTTTCGAGTTGATATTTATGTGAAAGATTGTCTGCCATTTCAACACCTATTTTTTGTTTGTATGATTTTCAATTGTTTGTTCATCATTAATAATAACTGTACGATATTTATCAATATCAATTAATAGTGTGCATGTGATTCTAGGTAATTGCCAAAGACAAGACTCACACTCTTCAAAATTATAGCAGTTATGTAACATCTTACATTTTCTCAGTAGACTTTAAGTAAAGTCAACAAATTTTGAATCTTTGTCAGCGTCAACAATGACTCTTATTCGTGAACTTTACATCTATAATTCTAGTTATTTAAGAGAAGAAGTGTATGTTTAAAAGATTTAAAATGAGAAAAGCAATAGAGAACAATCGCATGGTGGAAGCACTTGCTCTTCTAGAACTACGTATAGAGTGAATATTACGAGAGTATTAAGAGAAGGTCATAGAAAATGCGATGATCTCTCATTTTGTTCTCTTTAATATGGCACTGTTAAAAAATAGTATCTAGAACCTGAAAACTACTTTGACATGATGAAATCTTGCTATAGAAAATTCTATTGACTATTAAAATCATCATCCGAATTTGCTTTACATTACAGAAGATAAGAAAATACGTTGTTGTTAAACTTTTTTTCCACCATCCTACACAAACGCACTCATAGAGTGGCCCCAATCTTCACTAAAACAATGAAGTCAGAGGTGTTCATCGCAATACTATCGCGATGGACATCTCTGACTGGAGTATATCGCTACAAAAAAAGCCATTTTTTGATAGAATTAGTGTCTCAATGTTGTAGCGAATACAAATGTCAGTGGACCTTATATCGAAGACTTACTATTCAATATTTACACCAAACTTTTGCACATTCCTAATTATCCTTTGTTACCAGTTCTCGTTATTTAAAATGATTACCGGTACCGATCCGAAATTTTTTAGACCGACCGGTATACCAGTGATACGTCAGTCCATCATTGAATACCGACAATATACCGATTTACAGGCAATAGACCGAGCTTTAAAACGAAATTTTGTTTGTTTATATTTTCTTTATTTCATACTTTATAATAAAACAAAAAAAAACAAAAACAAAAATATCCCCATGCTCAAACAGAGAAGTTATATTCATATCGAAACAAAAATCACTTAATGATGTATATGAAAATAAAACAAAAAAAAATAACATTATACATTTGATAAACATTTGTTAGAAAATTTTGTAAAAAATAAATTTGATTGATTTAAATTTATTGAAGATATGGAATTATTTGTTACAATTATTAATTCATGTTTATCAGCTACATAACAAATAGCATAACAATCAACTGAATAAGATTCTAAATATTGTTCTGTATTTAATATATGTAAAATATCAATTGATGGATCATTAATAAAAAAAATATATTGATTTAAAGATTTAATAAATGCTGAATAAATTGTTAATGGTTGTTGAGCACGTTGTAATTTAATTGATGGTAATTTTTCATGTATTATATTATCATTTGTTATTGAACAAAATACAACACCATATGATGAATCATCCATTTGAACAAGAAAATTTATTGTTTTTTCATTAACACATAAATGTATAAAACGTCTTACATTAGGAAACATTGATGTTAAATCATAATCATACTGATGAACTAATTTTTCAAGAAGATTTTTTGATAATGTCCAACGACAATTACGATTTAAATAAATATGATACATATATTTATCACATACAGTACCAATACCACGTTGTGATTCATTATATCTTGGATAAGTTATTTCTAATCCATCATCATCACCATGTGGTAACATACGTGTATCAAGTTTACGACGTTGATTAAGTGAATAAATAAAAAATTCACGTTCTGTAAACATATAAATAATACCAGTTTGAATAGAACCCATTGATATAATAAGACCATCATGCCAATTAAGAGTATATTCTTTATGAAAACGACGTTCAATAGTACCTAATTGCCATCTATCTAATCGATTAAGTTGACTTTTAAAACAAACTATATATTGTGCATCACATGTTATTAAGAGAAACATATTTCGTTCATGTTGATAGTGTGAAACTAAAAAAACAAAAATTTTCCGATAGAATTTCATGTTCTCTTTCTACATATATCTATTCATAATTTAAGGTTGATTCGCTTAGAACAGTCATCAATAATACATTGAGTTCTTGTATTTGTATTTTAATTAGTACTATTTCATTTCAAACTAGAGGAAAGATTTTTAATATTATCTGAAGTAAAGAGTAGTTCTTCAGAAATTAATTGTAACTTTTGAATCCTTTAAGCTCTACCTTACTAATATCCATGATTTAATAGATAATTACAAAATGGAGAGTTCGAATAAAATTGGGAACATTTATGCAGGAAATGAGAAGTGAACAATATTCCTGAAAGAAAAAAGGAAATTGTTCCATTTCCCGGAGAATTGGTTTACTCTGTCATAAAGTCAAATAGAAATGATTATGTAGTTATTATTTAAATCCATTAACGACAGAAGAAATTATTTTATACCTTCACAAATAGAAGTTCAAGAGATTTAACCAATGTCTTCATCGACTGGTCTTGTTTAGCACTACGGGGTAGAAAGAGCATGAAATTTTTAATCCCTTCGCTGACTTCTAAGTGATGAAAAATTCAATGCTTTTTATACATAGATTATGTCAAGTTTTACTATCATAAGACTACAAAATCTTAACATTCTAAAGGATTTCGCATGATTTTATTGAAAAATTTTATTCCATGTAATTGAAAACAAACCATTTATACAACTATAGATAATCGTTATATCTTTTAATAATATAATATAAAATCTCGTTTAATGATTTTTACCTTATAGGATACTATATAGTGTTCTAATGAATATGAATTTCTATTGAGATTTGACTAAGCTATCAAGTTTTCCTAAGATTCGTATTTTTGAATTTTGATCTGAAACTTTGTGTATATTGAGAACTGAACTAGACTATTATCCATTTCAAAATAGAAGAGCAGTAGGTATTTTTTTGAATAACTTCTGATAGAAATAAGATAGAGACGTGCGATTTTCACCGTTGAAAAGAGGAGATGAAGACGCATCGAATCATATATTACAGATTTTACTACCAACTATTGCGAGAGTTTCTATTGAATCTTTTCAAAAAAAAAATATGTGTACGTTTGAGCTCGATTTGTACAGTGAGTTTTCGTGAAAATGTAACAAAAAATACTCAAACTTTCGTCTATTTTTTTCGAAAAATCTAGTAGAGACTCACAGAAAAATGTCTTTAACTCCTGAATGTTACAAGCTAAAAATCTGGATCTTGCGCAGTTTTGTAGATCTCCGATTAGAGGTTCTGATGCATTCGTAAAAATCGAAAATTCTCTGTGTAATATATGATTCGATGCGTCTTCATCTCCTCTTTCTAACAGTGAAAACCACAGGTCCATACCTTCTTTCTATCGAAAACTATTAGAAAAATACTCATTGCTCTTCTATTTTGAAATGAATAATAACTTCTATAAAAAAAATTTACAATGTGTCAACTTTTACTTGGTGAACTAGCAGCTCTGGTATACACTATCCATGGAAATTAGTCTAGTGATAGACATATTAAAAATTTCGATAGCTTAGCTCAATCTCAATAGAAATCCGAAAGCTTCTCACATTAGTAGCAATCTGTAAACTGTTTATTAGAAAATGAATTGTAAAATTTCAATTTATCAAGAGTGATAAATAATTATCATTACTCGAATATAAAATTATTTAATTCTTCAGAACAAATCACTACTAAAAAATATTACCAGGATTTAAAATCAAACGTTCAACTTTATCATTTGAAGTAGATATTGTTTGTTGTTGAATTAATGGAGGTGAATTCATTGTATTTAATATTTGTCGATGATTATCATGAGAATTTACATGATTATTTTGTATTGATGATGAAGCAGATATATTACGACCAGAAAATAGTAGATTATTACTGTTTGAAGTTGATTTTAATCGTGTACTAAATTGAATTCGTCGAGGTCCAGTAGTATTTGTTATCGGAGATTGATTATCATTTCTTCTACAAAGTATTTGGGAAAACAAAAACTCTTTATTTCGAAGAATAATTATTAGATGAAATTTTTTTAGAAAAATGTACAGTTTTCATATTATTTAGATAGAATAATTATTATTTCGATTTTTTGAGAAAGTAATAACTAAAAAATCGAAGATTATTCCTCGTGGAGAGATGCAGCAGGTTTTTAGCTGTGATGAATATTACTGTTTAATAAAATTTATATGAATAAAGAAAATTTAATTTACTATTTAATCGTACATAGTATTATTAGTTAGTGTTGTTGTTGTTGTTGTTGATTGATTATCTAGACGTTTTGATCGAATACCAAAATTAGATCTGAATAAAACAAACACAAAATCATATTTATTTTTGAATTTTAATTATTACATATCATAATCTTCTTTTTTTTCATAATTAACTTCTTCATTATCATCATCAGCATAACCACTTTCAATATTTTTTTCTTGACGTAATAGTTCTTTTTTAGTCATTTGAATATCATTATCATCGAAATCTTGTTTATTATTATTATCATCTGTTGTTATGACTGGAGTTTTAACAATGATTGTTGATTGTGTCGATGGTTTATTAATTTTATGATCCGATGAAAAAAAATTTTCAATATCTAATTCATTCATATGTAATTTAGGTATATGTTGAATTAATGTTGAACGTTGAAAATTTTTTTCATAATCTTTAAATTTTTTCCAAGCTTGAAAATAAAAGAGAGAATAAAGAAAGATTTCCAATGTATTGTTAAACAAACCTTGTTCATAATTTTGAGAAGTAAATAATTCATTAATTTCATTACATTGATCTTGAAATTGTTTTTTATTTTCTTCTGATAGATTTTTATTTTTTAAACGAATATTTTCAAGTTTATCTTTTAATTTTTGAATATTTTCATAAAATTTTTTTTCTATTATTTTAATATAATTTATTGTTGAATCAATATCTTGATTACAAAAATTTTCATCATCATTAAGTGTTTGTTCGATTTCATCTAAACGATCACTAAGATGTTGAACTAATTTTTCCGGATTTGATAATAATTGTTGTTCATATTCATCTATTTTTGAATCCATCAATGAAATATTCATAGTTTTACAAAAAAAAATTTGACATAGATTTTTTTTTCCCAGTAAATTCATAAATATTCACTTTCATTGGAATTTATAAAGAAACCGACGAACTCTCTGTTTCATAGAGGTCATCAGTAGACGAGAAATTTTATACTTTTCAATAATGATAGGTATTATAATCAATTTTGAAAGAACAAAAACCACGATTTAATAATGATTCAAATGTATTGGGTAATAGATATAAAAGGTTTTTAAGATCATGGTATACTCTATTGACAGTAGAGGAAACCGAAACGAATTTCTTTTTCATAGATCTTATGACTATTTTTGGTGAATTTTTCAACAAAATATCATGATTTCACTAAAGTTGATTTTCGAGTTTAAGCTTTGCCTAAGGGAATCTTCTCCTCAAAAATGAATTCTTTTTTTTTTTTGAGCTCCAATCATAATGAAATTTTCAGTGCAGGTGTATTTCGAGCTAGACATATCTCATTCAGCTCAATACATTGAGTCTACGAAGAGTTGATTATGACTAAAAATTTAGGTTTCCGTGCGTTTCAAATTTCTTTGCCATTTCAAATGCTAGAAAGTTCGGATGAGTTTTAAAATGTAGTCAAGATGTGACGTTGTGGTTTTTTAGAAAACTACTCTGATGAAATATGAAAACTTCAAAAAGTGTAGATTCAGAACAGTTAGCTTTTTATGAACATTGATGGAAAAATCCTGCTCTGTTAAGTTGTAGAGCTAATTTTGACACCAAACCCATGTTTCTAGTGTTTAAAATGGTGGAGAAATCTGGGACACATAAAAACGTAACAATCAAAAGTTTTTAGAAAAAAACTTTATTTTCTCCTTTATGAGGGTTTAGAAAAACCTGTGTAATATCCTTGAATATCATCATCCCATATGATAAAAACCGGTGGTTAACCGTGGTTTTACCGGTCCGGTTAGCGGCTTCCGTCGCTAAGATTTACCGTTAAAAACTGTTCGGTATATACGATGTGCGATAAAATCAATAAACTATAGTACATTCGCAAGTAGACACTGTGCTTTATCTAACGAACTAGAAATAACAGAATCAACAAATTGGGGCACTCAATGAAACGTGTCCGGTGTAAAAGTATTAGATATTCAAAAACCTATATTGAGAATTTGATTCCGAGACAAAAGCAAACTTTGTTCTTCTCGTTATATTTCAAGGTTGGAAATAACAAAAAAAAATCTGATACAAAACTTACTAATAAATAGTCGTAATACCTATGAAAACGAATCTTTTTTGGGCTTCCTCTACTCTCAGTCGGGTATATCTGATGAAATAGAATCTAGGACCGTTGCTCGCGGTGCTTTTGCTCGTGGGACTCTTGCTCGCTGGACACTTGCTCATGGACAGTTGCTCGTCGGACAGATGCTCGCAGGACACTTGCATAGCTTCATACAAAAAAGGACATTTGCTCGCCGGAGAGTCGCCCGTCTATAACACTTGCTCGCTAGATATTCAGCATCGTTTGTCAAATATAAAAAACATTTATTTAGTTGTTTACATTTTATTTAGATGGTTAAAAAAAAGTTAGAATTAGATTAAAAAAAGGAACACACATCCAGAAAGACAATTTAGTATATTTTAGAACATTAAATTATGAAAAAAAAATTACGAGGATTTGAGTGAAATGTTGTTTGCTAACGATAGAATCTTTTCTAGATTTGTTGTAGAAGATTCATTTAAAATATTTAAAATTCTTTTTTCACGTCTTTCTGTAATTATATTTTTCCGTCTTCGAACACCAGCTTCAGCTTGATGCAGCTGAGCTTCGACATATGATTGTTCCTTCTTCAATGATTCAAGAAATTTCCACATATTTGGATGTACACCATCAACAAGTGACGAGAAACGATTATTCCACCCTTCAATAATATTATTGGTACGGTGATAGCCGTTCATAGTACGTTCATGAACATTCCAAGACGTCACTTCAAATACAGGCTTTTTTCTTGATTGAGTTCCACGTTTTTTTCCACCAATGTAAGTTTCTTCAAAATATAATAATACTAATTTTCCCTTGACTGGAAATTGTTCTTCTAATTTTTCAAATGTATCAATAACGTCATTCACCTTGAGAAAAGCCAAAGCAGGAATAGCTCGAATATATTGAGCAAAAACTTGATCATTGGAATAGTCAGTTTTTAGTCCAAGACGAACGACTGCTCTGTAAACCGATTGGCACAGGTGAAAGAAACATCCATTGATGTTTGCTCCAGGAAAAGTCGTTCGTATACTAGAAATAGCAGCCACTTCAAAGTCGATTGATACATTGGCAGGATCTAAATTTGGTTTTAAATCATGAATTGCCTTAAACATTTGATCATAACATTTTTTTGCTTTTCCTAAAAGAGAAAAATTAGTAATCGTTATTTAAAACGAACCGTTTTAACCTGGTAGCAGAGCGTAAATTACTGGACAAATTGTATCCAGATATTCACAATGAATGGTGTACAACTGAAAAAATAAAGACGGCACCACAGAATATGTACCATCAACAAATACGTTAGATGATCGTTTCAAGATTTTGAGCTGTTTTTTTGTAGAAAAAATTAAAATTCTTTTACTTTTTGGTCCTGAATCATATTGAAGAAATGTTTTGTTCGATGTTGTTTTTGTCAAATGAGATGGAATAGATAATGTTTTAAGTGATGATGGTAATGGATTTGAATTCTGAGCCTTTTGCCGGATGCGCCGAATCGTTCTCTTGAGATTGTGTAAATCAGGTAACGATGCAATTGTTTGACCAGATAAGGAACCAACAACACCAGCAATAAGATCATGTGCTGATCGATTTGATGATTTACTTTCTTCACCCATCTTAGCACGTGCATCCATGATTTCAGCAGCATTGGCGTTTGGTTCATGATTGTGTGTATCAATTTTGTGCACAATTTGATCATTAATCGTGTGGAGTCGACCTTTGCATTGACCATGTCTTTTACGATTACAACACCAAATCGTTTTATCACCCGATTGTCTCTCGATAATGAACACATAACCTTCGACAATACAGGCAGAATTTCCTCTTAAAGTGGTCGTTTTGTGGTAGGTCATAGACATGGAAAAATCGAGTGAAGAAAAAAAATATAGTGTATGTCGTAAAACGCATGATATTTATAATGCGTGAACAAAGAACAATAGAATTTTCGAGAACGAGAATAAAGAGTTTGATGTTATACGTAATCACTCTCTTTTATACTTTTGAAGATATGCATATACATGATGGCCTCGATTCGTATTCAGAATTAGATAGAACGATCGCATCAAAAGAAAAAAGTTATCGAGATATATAAGGACGAAAATGAAATATTCGAAAGAAATGAAAGAAGCATGAAAGTGACTCATCAAACGACGAGCACTAGTCATGCGGGAGGTTGTCCGGCAAGCAAGTGTCCTCCACAAGCAAGTGTCTCATACGAGCAAACATCCATGACGGGCTTATGTCTTGCGAGCAAATGTCCGACGGGTCAGTGTCCTGCGAGCAACTGACCGTAAACCGATGAAATAAGACTCATTTCAAAAGTAATCCATCACTTAACGAGATTTCATCATTATTGCAATTTCTAATAAACTCAATATTTTACTTACAGTTCACAAATGTTGTTTTTTTTTTTATCTCTCAGTAGTTTGATTCTTCTCTCTCTTTATTGTAGAAATGTGATAAACTAGAAATGAATCTCAAATAATCAATATATATCATTGCTTAACTGTAGTGATACTAATTTTACAAAACATTTTCTTTTGCAAATTAAAAAACGTTTAGTTTTTCTCAAATAATTTACTAAAGTATTTTGATATGTAACAATTAAATTTGTAAATTATAGTTTTCTATTCATTTTTTGTAATGTTATTGTCTTGAATATAAATGTATTCAAAAAAAAAAAAAATTCTATTATATTTTATACAAAAGAAGTACTCTTTAATAATTGATTGTGATGGGAAAAAGATAGAATAATTTTTGTCATTTGTTGATTATTTATGTTAATTTTCGATTAAAATGAAACAACATATTGTACTTTTATTTTTAAACCTTTGATAATAAAAATTAATGTTTAGAAAATTCCAACGAATCTATATTAAATCAATTGAATATTTTCAAAGGAAGAATTTTTAAATTTTGTTATTTCATCAAATAGAAAAATTTAGAATTACTGCTTATTTAATAGTAAACTCATTTTTTGAAAATTCTAGATTAGTATGTCTATTTTGTAATCGATTAGATTTTAATATTAAAAAATTTTCATGGAAATAGAGTTTAAAAATAAGTGTCTTTTCTTTATTTTTACCCTGTTATTATCAAAAAAAAACATGCACTTATGTTTTTTCTATTCTTTTTCTACTACTAGTTTATGAATTTTTTTTTTTTACCTATAGACACCATCTGGTTATGTTGATGATATTAGTTTTGATAAGAGATTTTTTTTTCATATTTCCTGTTACTTACTAACTCGTTTCCTCAATTTGCATAGTCACTCAAATACTTCGGCAATGCAAAAAAGCCAATATGTCTTTTCTCCACTTTTTTTTTCTCTCTATTTTTCTTCATTCATCATTCATCCTTATGTCATAAGGCATAGGTATAGGAGTAAATGTCTCTGTGTATGCTGAGAAAATAAGTGGAAGACAGATGTCATGTTGCTAAGCAATAGTTCTCTCACTGTCAACTAGTATTCCCTTGTCTTTGTCGTCGTCGTCTATCTCCTCTCGACGAGCACGCACGTATATATATATAAATATATTCACGACTAACTCTGCGAGAAAGATTCAATCTGCTTCTCTCACCTCTTTTCTTCTCTCTTTCTCCTTTTCGTCTTTGTCTCCTCTTTCTCTACGCGCTACCACTCTCACATATTCACTCTGTACTCCTTGATTCTGCATATTCTTCTCTTCTTTTCTTCTTTCATAGATTTTTTTTTGACTTTACAAACGTATAAACAGACGAACACAACAGATCATCAGCAATAGCAGAATATTCGTTGTATATGTGTAAGAGTACTCCTGTGCATTTGTAGTATATTTGTATTGTGTAGTATGATATAACCTTCACAGAAAGAATTCATTTAAGAATAGAAAAAAAAAACCGAAGAATGATGCTAGTGAAGGGGAAAAAAATGCTAATTTCACATATTCTCATATGTTGAAGCTCTTTTATTTTTCGTAAGTAATTGTCATACGGTTTTGTTTTCTCTTTTTATCCGTCCGACATAATTTAAAAAGAAAAAAAAAATTGAGAGAGCACATGTCAAACGGAAGGAAATAACACATTGTGTATCAATGCGTCAAGTATTTCGAATTTGTTCTTCATCATTTTTCTTTTTGTTCTCATTTGTAAAGAAGAAACAAAACTAAACTAAAATCATTTTCTTTCAGACAAATGTTAACTCATCAACATTCAACAAATTTAAAACAACAATCAGATCATGATCTTACAGAATTATCATGGTTAACTCAATCAGATATGTTTGATCGTTCACCATCAACACATCGAGTACCTATATTAAGTAAAAATTTACCAATTTATATTACAGATAAACATCGTCATTGTTCATCACCATTAAATTTTATTGATTCATCTGATAGTGAACATGATAATGATTCATCATCACTTTATTCTTCAAGTGAACGTGTTACAACAACAACTGATATTATTTCACCACCACATTCAGCATTATGTTTTTGGATATTATTTGCTATTGAAGATTCTAAATCTCGTATATTAACATTAAATGAAATATGTGATTGGATTGAACATCATATTGAACAATCAATAAATCATAATTTAAATTCATCAAATGATGAACAATTAATACAAAGTGCTCGTTTAAAAAGTAAAATACGTTATCATATGACAAAACAATTATCATTTTTTGTTAAAATAATTAAAAATCCAATAAATGGAATGAAATTACGTTATCCATTATGGACAATAGATCGTACAAAACGTTTAATTTTACTTGATACATTATTAACAATGAATATAAGACAATTATCATTAACAACACAATATACAATTAATCTATTTGAACGTTTATGTTTTGAAAGACGACAAAATTTAATATGTAATACAAATGATGAAAATAGTTGTCCATTAAAAAATCAAAAACGTAATAAAATTATTCATCATCTTACATCATCAGATGAAACAAATAATACAAAAAGAAAAAAACAACATTCAAAATATAATTTATCAACAATTCCTAGTGTTGAAGTTGTTGATGCTGCAATGACTTTACTTCTTTTACGACAACCAAAATGAAAAAAACAAATGTTTTATTTGAAACACATATACACATCTAAAAATTTCTTTATGAACATATACATCTATATGGCAGATGAAACAAAAAAACAAAAAAGAAGAAACATGGATATGCCCTTCAATAGCAAACGATGTCAGGTGATGCATACATATACGAATAAACTACTTATGGATGTTTTATATAAGCATCTAAATTTTATTTTTAATATAAAATATGTGCAATTGTTTTTTTGCCTTAATTTGTTGTTGTGGGTTCGCACGTCCAGTTTGATGATTCAGTGAAAGAGGCATGAAAAAAAATTGTTTTCTAACTTCCACAATGATTCAATCATTGTATTGAAAGAAAAAAAAAGAAATTCGTTATATCGACAGATGGAATATCTATCATGTATATTGATTTTTATTTCATAAAATTCATGATTCAATAATAATATTTAACAACAAAAAGTTTATTGACAAGAGAGAAAGAAATAGATGAGATCATTAAAAAACAAAGACTCATTTACAATAAAGAAGATTCATTGTCATGAATAACTGATTATAATTATGTTGTCATATATGAAAGACTCTTATTATTTTAATTCATCGACTTGTCACAACAGGTGAATATAATCCAAGTTTATATCCATTCATAGCAACATTTTCATTAAATGAACGTGATGGAAATGGATTGAATGATGAATATTTTGGTATTTGTGATGAACGTGATTTAACAAGATGATCAATTAAATTTTTTGATGATGTTTCATTTTGTGATACTGTTGGTTTTTCAAAATTAAGGCATGTTAATAATTGTTCAAATTCATTTTGTAAATCTTCTGTTTCTTCTTTAGATGAAGATTTTATAGATACGTGTTTTTTTAATTGATTTTGTTTGATACTTTTTGGTTTAACAAGTAAATGATTAATCTAAACAATAAAGAAAACATCGAATTTCTATTAGTTTTGAAAAAAAAAATTTTTTTTTAATTACCAATGGTCCATCAGATATTGAACAAACAGATTCTGATGAATGCTGTTGTTGTTCATTTGAACCTATTGAATATTACAAAAAGATCTATATTGAAAATTCTCTCTCTCTCTCGAGAATAAAAAAAACAAAACTTACATTGAGTAATAATTTGTACTTGTTGATTTCGTTGTTTAAGTTTTTTATATTGTTGTCGAAGTTGATTTATATCCGGTGAATTCGTTTTAGGTAATATTGATTCAACTATAAATATGAAGTAATAGAAATTAAGAAAAAAAAAAAAAAAAAGAAATTTATTTTCTTACATCGATTATTTCGTAATGATGATGATGTTGATGAAAGTATTGCAAAACAAGATATAAAATTAATAACATCATCATCAATTAATTTTGTTTTTGATCTTTTGATATCCTATAGAAAAAGAAAAAAGAAAACTATTCAAAAAATGCATTATGGTGTCATATGGTATATCATTCTTGGATAATGAATGACAGTTAGACATTTTTGTATCTCATTAGTAAATATCTCGTAAGGATATCAACAAATCTTACTTTAGATTTTGATTGATTATTATTTGTTTGTCCAATAGTTTGATTTATTTTTATATTTTCTAATGATTGTTGAAATGTAAATTTTTGACGTAATTCGGATAGAAATGGTGTTGGAAATGGACCAAAATTATATATTCCCTAAAAGAATATTAAGATAAAACAATTTATTAGATATATACAATTGTTAGTAATCCTAACATAAACTAGATATTTTTATTTGCCCTACTAGTAGAATATAACCTATATTTTTCTTCCAGTCCTTTCTATTATAGTAGTTTTCTTTTTTAGTATTAGTCATCAGAAATTCTAATTAATTCATTAGTTCTTTTCGAAGTCAGTCAACTGTAGTACATTTAAAACTTGAATATGATATTTCTGAAATTAACTTTTTTTTGTCTTCTATAACGTCTTGCATTTATTCTTAATCATATGCATGATTAACAGTATATCGATGATTACTAGTAATAAAAATCATTCAAATGATTTTAAAATTCCTATTTCTATTTAAAGATAAATCTTACTTGTATAAGATCATCAGCAACAAGAATTTTTTCATCAAGTAATTGAATTGATAAATGACCCATAACTGAATAAAATTGATCTGCTGTTGATATTTTTAAAACAGCACTATATTGAAAAAAAAAATAAAGAATATTTTTTTGTTTTGTTTCATATTTAATAATTAGATGAAACAAAAGAAATAGACTTACATTGCTAATTTCGACCAAAGAAGAAGTCCAGTTCGAAAAAGTACTTCACTACCTTCAATCATTAATATATCCCAAACACGTAATGTAGTTTGTCTTGGTAAACATGTTGCAAATAATGTTAAAAACCATTGTATAGTAAAAACATTTAATAAAGGTGGTTCATAGGTTACTCCTAAATCATCATTAGATGATGATTGAAGATTTTTTAAATGTAAATGTAATTGTGGATTATATATTTTTAACCATTGATCAAAAACGGTCATATCAATAGCTAATGCATGTAAATTATTTGAAAAAAAATCTGGTAATATAAAATCAACTAAATAAATTAATATCATTAATGCATATTCTTCATTCATATTAACAACATCAAGTATAATTGATGTTAAAATATGAAGACCTTGACAATAACCAATTGTTTTATTATAACGTGCAAATGCAAGTAAAACACGTTTAAGTATTGTACGATTATATTCATTTGATGACCAATTACAACCTGTTCGATGAAGATCCTAAATAATAAAAAGAAAATTTAACTTTTTTTTGTTTTCATCTAAATATTTTATTTTAAATATTTACTTTATCAATTTGAATATTTAGTTGTTCATCTTCCGGATATGAATTATTATTAAAAGCAAATTGTCGAGTTTTATTCCAATCAAGATGAATATCATGAATATATTTATTTGCTAATGAAATCCATAACTGTGAGATTAACAAAAAAAAGGATGCTAAAAATAAAAAAATTTTTTTTTTGTTTATTATTTTCCTACATTTTGTCGTTTATCTGTTGATAAACCACCAGGCATACGAATTTCAATCGATATAGAATCTTTCCATTGTTGAAAATCTTTTTCATCTTCACCTTTGAATAAAAAAAAAAAACAAAATAATAAAAAGATTAAAAAATAGATTTATTATTGTTTTTTTCCCTTACTTGATAATGTCGAAAACAAATAACGTGTCGATGTTTCTAATTTACTGTCAATCGTCATCTTAAAGAACAAGAAAAAAAAAGTACGTCAATGTGTGATCAACTAAACAGTTTGTTTGTTTTTTTGTTTTTATTATTATTATTATTATTATAACGAAATTGACAAAATGCATAAGACGATGGAAAATAAAAAAGTAAAATTTATTTTACTTGTAAATTAGAATGTTCTTTTCCTTCTGTTGCTCTTTCGAAGAAGTGTATATTGAATTTCATGCTATCAGTAACATTATCTTTCTACTTGTAGGAAAAGAAAAAGGAGTGGCATGCTTACGTGTAAATACGATTAACTGAACTTGTCTTCATTCATCAATGTTTCTCCGGAGATAAAAAAAAACGAGCGTAGGCAGACGAAAGAAAAAAAGAGCTTCTACATACTCGTAAGCGCACGGGCACGCAAAGACCGAAGAAAAAGAAGTAGGCGATAACGTTTCTTATTCCATTCTTCTATCGATAATGATGACGTCAATTCATCATTCTACGTCATTGCTTCTCTTTTTTTTTCCTATCTAAAAAGGAGGCGTTCATAACAAAAAAAAAAAAAAAGAACCAATCTGCTCTATAATTCATTGTTGATACATTCTTCAAGAAAAGAACAACATGACATCATAAAAAAATATATGTTGAGTACCGCATCACTAGAGGTCAATACCAATAAAAAAAAAAGTCTCCAAATTGAATAAATATTATAATATATAGTAAAATCATATCTGATTTGAATGTTTTTACATAAGAAAAAATAAGAATATCATAGAAACATATGTCATTTATATAATATTTAATCAAGTGTATATATTTACTCTTGGGAATAGCATGTAATTTTTTTTACCATAGGAAAAAAAAACCTATTTTGAAGGAAAAAAATTGTTTTCTATGGTAAACGGTAACTTATATTATTATGTCTAGTGAAATTAGGTTTAAATCAACAAAAAAATACCGAAGATCTAGTAGAAAAATATAACTTATTTATCAGAAATTATTGTTTTCGACTCAGTCATAAAGAATTTGACTTAAAATCAATATTAATTAGAAATATGTCTTGGAAACATCTGCTCCGGAAAAACAAATATTACTTCCTCGTATAATATACTATTACCCTATATTCGTCTAATTTGACACTGAATAGAGAATTTTATATTACTCTTATTTGATTGGATGAAATATAAGATCAAGGTAGGAAACTTAATCAAAAGATAAAAGAGAATAATATATGTGAGTGACTGTCTGTCATTACATATTTAATAATAGATTAATTTCATATTTGCTGAATGGGTTACTGAGTATTATGTGAGAGTCGTATGACTTCGCTTCATGAAAACCATTTTATCAGCAACTACGCACAAGAAATAAATATAATTATTCTACATTAATATTTAATTTCTTTGAAGTTTTTAATAAAACTTAAATTTTCTTTAATAGTTGATTTTCTAAAAATTGATATGAGAAAGCATATTGATAATAATTGATTGTTTTTCTTTTTGATCAACTCGACGGAATAAAATTGTACTTTTATTCGATTATGAATAGAATCGAAGAATAAGTATAACAAATTTATCAAATATTGATCAATGATAAGCAAATTTATTGTATATACAATGATTATAAATCATGTGAATGAAAAAGATATTGACATCAATATATTTTCTATTGAATTTATGTAAAACAACAAAATGAATAAATATGGTCTTCATATAAGTCAAGACTAATAAAAATCAATCTACAAAAAATAACGCAAAATTATCTTCTATATAATTTCATCTCAAAAAAACTCTTGAATCTACATCGATCTGTTTCAATTCTTGAGCAAATAATATTAATATGTAAATACAATTTACACACTTTATATTTTGGATTAATATCATCGTCATACAATTGATACCATTCTGTTAGTTTTCCTTTGTTTAATAATTTTTTGATTGTTAATGGTGTAGTAATATGAAATTATAAACATAGACATTGAACGGTTTTAATGTTAGTAAAAAAAAATGAACCAAACATTCTCTTTAGAGTAGAATTGTTTCCAGGTAAACTATCAAAAAAAAAAGATCCCAGTTCGTATTTCAAGATGTTTGATTATGAAAAATTCTTTTTTTTTTTTCATGTATAATAAGCTTGATATTCCAAATCAGCATGCAAAAAAACAAACACACCGGAAATTCTATGCTTATTTTGTCAGTAATTTCGAATAAAATTTTACCCCTGGAAGACTAATAAGTCATATTTATACAAATACAAAATTGAACATGAGCACACAAGTTAAATTTTCATATGAAAATATTTTCTATAATCAAAAAACTTAAAATATTAGTCGTTTACTATTTTAATTCCATTCATAGTAGGAAAAAAAAACGAGTGAAGCGAGAAAAAAAAATAATTACCATCGAGTCTCGGTGCTGTTTTCTTTCATCATGTCATATAAATTTTTGATTGCTTAAATGGAAATTCTTTTGTCAGAGGTTTTAATCAGAGAAATAAAAAACTAAACAATATGCCACAATTGACATGAGAATTCAGTTAAGAACGGAAAAAGGTATCAGTTAAAAGAGAAAAACATCGGAACGCTTTTTTCTTCAATATTATATATATATAGATGAAATCATTTTAAAATCAACCAACTCTGTAGTTTTAGAGGTTTTACAAACATACCTACGGCCATTATTTCTTTTTTTGTTAAACAAACATTAATTGATTTAGACAAGAATTTACAAAATAAAGTTACATTAAACACTATACATAAAATATGCATCGTATATTATCGATTAGAGTACTTAGACAAGAAATTTAATTTTCACTTTCATTAGTGTTGACAGTCGTTCATTATGTTCTAATATTATAATTATAAGACACAGACGTAGAGAAATGCTTTAAAACCGCCCACATCAATTCTCTGCTCATCTAAATTAGCTGAAAAATTGTATATGAAATATTTTTTAAACGAAAAAAAAAAAATGAATATTGAAAAGTCTACGATACAATTATTTTTCAATATATCAAAAGGAAATAAATTCAAAATTCTGATTTTCGTAAAATTGATTTTTCTAATTTGTAACTTGAAGAGTTATATTCAATCATGACACTAAAAGAAAAATAAATCCTACTGAAATTCTTTTTATTGGTATCATATATTACATATATTGTAAATGCTTTGAAATTCAAAAATATCAGTTTGTATATTTCCTAAACAATTCATATTTTAAATTTATTAGTTTATTAATGAGACATTTAATTTAATTCGAATATGTCTAATGTTTTTAAGTTATCGTACATATCCTTCAATTTAATGAAATATCTTGATACATTGTATAATAGTATTTCTTTATAGTTAATGAAAAATAAAAGAACTTGTTTTTTTGAATCAGATTGTTGAATTATAAATGTAATATAGATGAGTTAACTTAATTGTTTTTTTATGTATGTATAATTCACTGCATACTTATGTCTATCAGTGTTATCTCGAAAAAGAATAACAAAATAAATTGAGAAACAATTATCAGTTGAAGAATGATCTTCAGAAAGAAAAGCTCTATTGAAGATAAAAGAGTTACTCTTAACAAAGAGGATGATAATCGATGTAAGATATTAAAACCAGTAGAGAGAGTTAAAGACTTCCACGCAAAAAAATGTTTTGTTTTTTCTTTTCGACCATCCGATTTTGATAGAATTTTCAATGGAAGTGTCTATGCGTCCCAAATTTTTCAACTATTTCCAATGGTAGAAAATTCGGGTTGGTTTGAAATTGTAGCTAAGATGTAGCGCTACAAATTGGCAGAGTCCGATTTTTTCATAGTTTATGTTTTTCAAAAACTCCTGTTAATAAAGTATTAAACGCATGAAACCATGAAAATCAAAACATCCGATTGTTAGAAAAACGTAGGTGAGGTGTAATTATAAAGGTATGTTTTTGTTTTTGCTCGAAGTATCATCCCTCTCTCGCAATAGACTGTGGCCAATGCTGTGAAAGCTTTCGTATAATTGCTGTAAAGTCATCTTCAGATAGTCGATTCAAACACTGATGTAGTGATGAATCTAATGAATTTCCGTCATTATAGTGTTGATTTTTTAGAACTAGAAACGGGAAATAATCATTAAAAGTCAGATCTAATGAATAAAATGCATAATGAATCAATTCATATTTCAAATTATGAGTAATAGAAGACAAGAAATGAAATATATATGATGAAATATTGTCACGTAGCAAAATGACACCAGACAAAATTAAACTTCCTAATTGTTTTTCTAATTTCTTGATGAAATTTATCTACCAAAAAACAAAATGTGTGTAATATATTTTAATGATTGTCACACTTAGTAGTACGTGCTGTTTATGGTTTCAGAAAAATGAATATAAAACTTTATCAGCAAACTTTTCTTCTCTCAATTTTGCTGTTAATAGTAAATTGACTTGTTTTTTCTGCCAAGGTCATTGTTTATAATAATGAATCCACAATTCATCACTAGTCACATCAAGTCGTTTCCTTCAGTAGAACAATGAGCTAAAAATTCTTGACATTCTTGAAAATGTATTCATCTCATTGATTAGATGTTAGTAAATATGGCGTATCCATGCTGGATGAAATACTTAGAGTATCTACTTTTATTTGTTGAATTATAATTCGATGACAAGATTTTTTAACAATTGTTTTGTTAGTTGCAGTAATTAAATCGGTCGATGTTTAAAGCAATAAGTTCATTCAAATACTTTGATTCATGATGTCAATAGATTAGAAGATTGTGTAAACTACAAATCAACAACAATTTCAAAACAATCATACTTGTTGTTGTTTTTAAATAACGAATACATATAAGGGTATGGAATTGAGTGTTTAGTTCATTCACATTCATATCTTCACTTTATTCTCTAATTTTTCATATCCGAATGTTGTATTCATTTATCATATTTAGCGATACATGATAGTCTTGTCTATCACTACTAAAAGTCAACAGAGAAATCTATGTAATATCATTAAATCAAGAAACTATAATGCATTCAAAATTATATACTTT